ACTCAACAAGTACCACTAAACATCTTACACTATATGAAGTATAGTTATTTCATATAGAAGACATACTTGATTCAAATACCATCTTCTCATGCTATGTCATGAGCATGATTGACTGACTACAGCAGCTGATATTTACTACATCAGCATTACCTCAACTTCTAGATACACAGTAATATCAATAGAGTCTACGACAATCAAGACTACAAGGACACACCCTCATTACTTCAATATAATAATCTTCTCTCTACACAACATTGCAGTATTAATACTACAATTATTAACAAATAATAAACATTGTTTTACTAAAATACATATTTTTCAGTCCATTCACTTATTATTTCCTTTAAAGTTATCCTGCCGAGAGTCTGATCCACTGAACTATTGAATTGGTAATTCGAGCCATAAACTAAGCCTTTAAAATCGAACATACATGTATGCAACAAAAGTCGCTAGAAATGGCCTCAAGTAGGAAAAATTTGAGTCATAAACTTCCGAACATTTTATATTCATTCATTTGCGTTTAGGCCACAAATACTGGTGACCTAATAGCCCGATCTTTCCAGAAAACTTTTGTGCATGTACGGGACAGTAGGGCTACAATTGGCTTTAAGTACGAAAGATTTAATTAATATACATCCGAACATTTTTAATTCATTCTTTGCGTTAAGGTGACAAATATTGGCAACCTAATAGCCTGATATTTCCAAAACTTGTTGTGTATATATGGAACAACAATGGCTACAAATGGCCTTAAATACGAAAAATTTGAGTCATAAATTTCCGAACATTTTAAATTCATTTCTCAACGTTTGGGTGACAAATGTTGGCGATTTAATAGCCCGAACTTTCCAAAAGTTGTTGTGTATGTGTACAATATGTACTCGCCTTTCCGGCTTGTTTTACCATGTTGTGTGATAGCGATGAAAGGTCACAAGTGGAAAGGATATTGTAATAATTCAATATAAATATGGCTGGTGTATATGTTGTTTATTCTGTTATTTATCCGATTGCACGGCTTGACTAGTATTACTATTATTAATTATTGAAATGACTCTTGTGGTGGATTGTGTTCGCGGTAGCAAACGTACACTTATCTATGGAGCGTGATGGTTTGAATATGAACGCAGAATGGCGCGATGTTTGATTCGCCGACACTTGCGCTGTTGTGAGAGCACATGCTTAGTTGGGTTAAGGTTTATAGTAGCGTGACACACGCAACTGTTGTTAGTAGAGATTATACTCGGGTCGTAGCAAGTGTATCTTAGTCCTGATATTGGCTTACTGCAATCTAATTAGTTGGAAGTAAGAGTTTGAAAGGCTTTTACCTCGTGAAGGACACAGCTGCGTATTGCGTCTGCTATAGGCGCTGAATGTCGTGAAGCGGGGTTTGTCGACTGTTCTCCGTGCGCATGGGCATGTGTTTGTGGAGGTTATGGTCGACAAGGTGGGCACTCAATGCGCAACGATTATTAGTAGAGAGTATACTCGGGTCGTAGCAAGCGTATCTTAATCCTGGCACTGGCGTACTTCAGAGTTGTTCCTTGAGAAGTGAGAGTTTTTAAGACTCTTACGTCACGAAGGAACTGCTACGGGTTGCGTCTGCTATCAGCGTTGATTGGCGCGAAGCGTGATTTCTGTTTGTTCTTGATGTAATTGATACTACTTAGGAAGACTAATCGTAGACTCAGTCGAGGGACTATACGTAATACTTAATTAAGGGCCTAGTCGTCTCTGGGTCTTCATGATGAGCAGATCTCTCATTTCCTCTGCCGCATGCTTTTCACTAATGCGTGCGAATTTTGAGCAAGCGAAGTTTTGAAATCTAAATACAAATTTTACGATGTTACTTGCCAGATGTTTTATTGCACTGACAAAAAGGAAAAATGTTCTCGCATTCTCGAACAATCACGTTACACTGCGAGTAAGTCCTTACTGCTAGTCCTGATTCTTGATCTTTCGGCTTTACTCTGAAAACGGACGGCTGAAGTCCGATTAGTGAAGCTTCCCAAACATACTCTAAAGACCAGCAATAGACGCCACACAGTGGATTTTCATTTCCTCCAACAAACAGCTATTCGCGCCACACTGTAAGAGCACATCGCAACAACGATCAGTTATTGACGCCACAGGTGGCGCACAGCTCCGCATAACATCTAATTTTAGGTTCTTACACGACCCATTATTTAGAGGCAACTGCACACGTGTTAAGTTAAAACACAATAAGATTGTAGTGTTCGATCGAGGCACTACAACTATCATAACCTAAAAAGTGATAATATTCAATAGATTATAACCTATTTATTTTTACAGTAAATCATAATCTCACCGGTATATGCAGAGAATGAGAAATTGATTATTCCCTAGTTCTCCAATGAAGGGATATATCTGAAGCTACAAGAGTATTAAGAAATATAAGGGTTATTTGTAATTTCACCATGGTTAATGATTCCAACTTGGAAATAAAGTAAAATAAATGGAATAAACAGCAATAATACAGATATGTGTTAATTATTGAATCAGTAAATTAACCCTTTACTTGCCCAGCAATCCCACACAACATCCAGCGGTTTTTTTTTTGTTCTAAGTTGATTTTGTACGTTTAGCTGACGAGTCAGATTTGTGGAATTATTTTTTGAATAATATACATGTGCATACAAATAGATACATTGACAAACTGAAAAAAAAAAAAACATGTTTATTACTAGACCATACAAATATAAGAAATACAATTGGTAAATGGAGAAACAGGTAAAATGATAAAGAGATAAATGCTTAGAGAAATAAATCCTTTTCTATATAGATACATAAATATAATAAATATTAATAATTAAAAAACATTAATGGAATAGAGATTCATAAACAAATATAGATAAAAAGCTAAATGAGAAGTTAAATAATTAAATATATATATAAACAAATTAATATTAATGGATATAATTAGGTTTAAAATAAAAAAACTAATATAATAAATAAAAAGATAAATATATAATTAGAAAAAGGATTTTATGTTAATATGATGAAATATATACCAAGATATAATATAATACATAAAGATATTAATTAGTTTTTTTATTACAATTAAAATATGCAATGATTTAAATTAGCGATTTTAATTATTTGATTTTAATTAATTCATTTTAATTATTTAATTCATTACAAAAGAAATAAGCCAAGATTCCAAGAATTTTCAGAATGGAAATATATATATTATAATCTTTTCAAAGATATCTTTAAAAAGATAAATACATAGATAAATCGAACGGGTAATGAAAATATAGGTATACAAAATGTGTCCGATGATCCGACTTGCTTCACCAAGGTCTGGTAATCCGGGTCGAAGGTCCAAATTGTTTAGAATTAATTAAAGAACCACGAGATATTATGTGGGAAGAATGCGTGTGCAAATGGAAGGGTTAGCGCATTGATTCAATATTTAACACAACTGTTTTAGTGCTGTTCATTCTGTCTATTTTCAAATACACGGATGATTCTTATTGAAGTCAATAGGTGACCTCTTGTTGCTCTGTGGCGGTAGCACGTGGCGTCAGTGTGCACTTCGTTTGGAGGTGTGAGGTTCTTGATCCTCGTTACGTGGTGCCCCTTGATGGTACGTTACCGTGAGAAAGGACAGGTTATAAAGCTCTTACAACTTCTTCAAATAGTGGCACGTGGTGAAGCTGCTACTGCTTCGTGCGCTTGGGCACCAGCGAACAGATGTTTAATGAGCAGGAATTTTCAGAAGTCTTATGACGATTTAATGAAGTTGTTTTGCCAGATATTTTATGGCATTAGAAAAGGTTCTCGCAATCTCGAACAATAGAGAACTATATATAAATAATCAAATAGGAACTAAATTGGAAAATAATAAACAAATATTGAGATATTAGATATAAAAAATAAATAAACATAACACAGAAAAAGGTGTATACTTAAATATATAAATCTTCAAAAAATAAATTATTCGTAGTTAAAACTATTGTATAAAATATTTTTTTCATTAGTTTAGAAAATCTTAATTTGTTATATTATACATAATAGACAAATCAAAAATAAATGTAACTACTAATTAATCTAAGTCTATAAATAACAGCGAATTATGTAAAAGTATTATACATATTTACAATTTCATTATATGTTGTTATTAATATATATATTGCAATCATTTATTTTAGACAAAAAATTAAATTCATAACTTTAGTGTTCCTTAATATTTAGAATGATCTTTCTTACTGATTTTCTCTCTCTCTCTCTCTCTCTCTCTCTCTATATATATATATATATATATATATATACTATTCCATTGCATTCCATTTAATATATTAAGACTAAGTACACGCATACACACCTTATATAACTTTACTTTCAACTTTGCATCCTCCTAGTTATGATTTTACTTTGAAATAATTATAATTAAATTTAACTATCATGCATCATTGAAATTACCCATGAATTAATTCTGGGATAAACTCTTTTCTTCACCTAACAATGCTTAATAAATAAATTAGAGCGTAGATTAAAATTAGATAATTAATACTATCATAAGAAAGAATTAATAACTAAGTTGTGTTCTGAATACTTTCCTGTATATCAAATGATATCAACTAATCTCCCTATATATATATATATACATATATATCCCTACAAAATTTATAAATTACAAAGTATTTGGTCCATATTTTTTCTATAATAAATTTTGTGTGATTAATATTATATTATATTAATTATATTAATCAATATAAGTATGAATTAAATGTATACAAATATGTAGAAATACTTTTATTTAGTACTCATATATTGATCAGAAAAAATAATAACATAGTATAAAATGCATGAAACCTATAAATAACATAATTACGTTTATTTATTTACATATTCTAAAATATCAGTGTGGCCTTAAAATTAAAATTGATAGTATTTATATGAGGTTAGTTAACATCCATTTAATTATTAAATTACCGTTACCATGCAAATATAATTAATAATGTACATTCTATTTATCAAATTTATTTAAATATTTAAGTATCTATGCTTGAAATAATAAATAAGATTTTATAAATCAATCACTGAATATTTGGTACTTGGCCCCAATTGAATCCTCCAGGCCTATCTTCTGCCAGTGGAGTATCTTCAGAATCATTGCTATGAGTATCGAAAATAATTTTTCTGTAAAAACAATATAATCAGTATATTTAAACAAGAATTATTAATTTATTAAAGAATTGTTATAGATTATTCATTATTATTGATATAAAAGATTTAACACTAAGTTGTTGAATACAATTTTTTACATAACACATTTTTCCTTTTTATTTGTTTTATTGTCATTCTTTCATACCCAAAACATGAATGTTTTTGACATGAGCATAAACGTTTGTAAAGTATTATAAAAGAGATGAATATGAGATAAGCAGCAAAAGATTTCTTACAATTGTTTGAGCTAGCAGATCCTACTAGTTTCTATTAATTAAAAGGGTTTTATTGATAAAAATTAATTATAATATTGTTTAAGATAAGTTGGATATTAATATCATTTAAATTTATGTATAGTCGTAAATTATAATAAAACTAAACTGTTATTCTTTCTTTATTAGACATTTTTTTTCCTATGCAAAAAATCTAATAAAATTATTTACATATTTTCTTCATTATAAAAGACGAGTTGAATTCACATGAATTGTGGTGTGGTGAGTTAGTCATCTCAAATATTTTCTGATACGATGTAAATAGTAATTTAGTAATTGGTCAGTAAACTGCCAATATTCTAAGAATGTTTACATATTATAAGTAATTATTTAACAAGTCATGACAATCAAACAAATACAATTAGTAAAGCATCTAAGTATTTAAAATCATCATTTGCCATGATAGAATCAACTAGTTTTAAAAATAAAATTAAAAAATTATATATCGCTATATACATTCTATTGTGACAGAGTAAAAAATTGTTTTAATCAAATAGTTCTTTTTGAATACTGATAAGTATTATGAAACTAATTTTAAATTACATTTTTATCAAATAATAATATCATAGTAAACAAAATGAAAAATTGTAGTAATATCAATTATAAATAACAGATAGTAATAATTGAGACATGATTTTTTTAGACAATAAAAACATTATGTATTTGTTAATTTATTATTTATTCTCTTTATTGGTTTATTATATAATCGTCAAAACTAGTAACTATACATAATATAGTTTGCGTCACTCGTAGTAATTAACATCCCAAATAAAAGTATAATCTTCTTTTAACTAGCCTACGAGAATTAATAATTTTTTATATTTAATTATAGATTATATTTATTAATTGATGAAAATTTTGACAGCAAAATCAAATATTTCTAATTCAGTCAATGGAGAATTATTCAGAATATATTGTATATATATTTATACTACAAGTTTCAACATAAAGATAGTTCAATCTACTTACAGGAAATAGGGTGTTTTAAGTATTCGAAATCCACCAATTTGTTGAGGAAAAACATCTTCTGCAAAATAATACATATGTCCCACTGCCATTCCAATTAGATCTACCCATACTGCATTTCCAATTAAGACTGAAAATCCAAGAAGTACCCACGGCAAGTAAGGAGCCTAAAATTATTATTATTAATATATCGAATTAATTATTGTAATTTATAAATCCCGATATATTGTACTAATTTAATTTGAATTGATATCACATAAAAAGTATATAGAATATGCGAAAGAATATTCATTAAAATTATACTATTATTGTTTTTAATGTATTAAATCTTATTAATAATAGTATGAAAATATAATTTGAATATTATCTCACTATTGAGCGGTACCAATCTGAACCGTCGTAAAACTAATGATTTTGCTTGAAAATAGTTAAATCACTGACATAAAAAGTACACAAATTAAAAATGCCCTAATTATTTTTGTCTTAAATAACAGCATGTCATTTTTTTATGTCAATTTATATTTCTAAAATTTTTTTGCCAATTATTTGATATTTGATGCGAATACAATACCACTATTGTTTTCGATTTGCCAAACTCCAATAACGAACAAAACTTATTAGAATTTTCTGAAAATACATTTCTATTACTTTTATTTCTATATTAAATTCAGTTAAACAATATAATAATTCTTAATACTTTCAATAATGACATAATAAAGGCGATTAAAAAAAAATATATATATATAGTACTGAGTATTTCTTCAAATGTTAATACAAAAAAAAAGTTATATTTGAAAGATATACTGATTCGATTAACAAGAATGTTGAATAGACTGTTTCATTTTCAAAATGTAATAGAATAATTTAAAATAATAGTACCAATGACATTACTAAAATAAAATGTAATAAATTAAATATACATTAATCATCGTAAAATGAGAAGCTTGAAAAACACAGATGATAAGGTTGACTTAGTTAATGAAAAGTTTTAATTGCTACAGACAGAACCAGATAACTGAAATATAGATAATAATGCAATGTAAGTAAATATCACGATCTATATATTGTAAGAAATGCTTTATAAATAATTAAATCCAAGAATAATTCACTTATGTCATAAAATTGTACTAAAATTTGATTTAAATCAAACACATATGAAGACCGCCGATTATCTATTCACTATGTAAACAACTATATTTAAAACAAATATTTTAACTTACTAAAGTTTTAGGTAATGAGGTATATTATGGATGCATAGTTAAAATTATACTAGTAATATATTAGTCCAAGTAACGTTAAAGATACATATAGTAGGAAACCAACTGTCTAATTTCCCTGAAAGATAAGTGAATTCAGTAGTGCACGAAATCCAACAAAATTTTATTTTTCCTGTAGAATACAAATGACTTTCAATATATATTAAATAATGCGAAACAATTTAATTATACTATGTAAGGATTCACACTTTATTTATCTACTTTTATTACAAAAATTGAGTTTGGAATTATACATTTACATAATTTATCTAAGAAATTTCTTAAACTATAATTATAACTCATTCTATATAAAGTTATATATTTAAAATAAAATATATAAATTTAATATTAACAAAAGGCAAATTCAAATTTGTTTTATTATTGTGTAATGTTTATATTACTAAAGTTGATTGAAAACTATTAAGCAAAATCAGTTGAAAACTAGTTACAATTACGAAATTATTCTAAAACGAATAAATGTTATCTAATTTAACTGAAATAAATATATTAATAAGCTTTAATATGATCTGTAGTAAATAATATTAATACCTGAAAATTTAGAAGGCCAAAAAAGCTCATTCTTATTAAAGGATTTCTTCTAGACCAAACATAAACTAACATTATTGTGAAAGCATGCCCTAGAAATAGTAAATTCATAAAAAAGGCAAAAATCTGTTTACTGTATAAGGAAAATAGGTTTTTAAATATATTAAAATATAACTAAATTTTGTCATAAATATAGTTATTTAAATAAAATGATATTATTAATAATATTATATGAAACCTATGTATTAACCCATAAAATTAAATATAATTTCAAATTATGATTAAAAAATAACAATTGTAAATTAAATTGATGACAATCATAAACACAATTATAAGTATTTATTTAAAAAATACATAAATAATTAAAAAATTATCTATCATAGTATCTGCTAAACTTAAACGTTTTAATGAAATGTTATATAATAGTATTAAAACTATTAAAAATACATTAAAAAATGAATAATAAAAGAAAAAGTAACTTGTTAAAAGCGGTAATACATTATTGAGCATAAAATATGTAATAAAAATACGAACAAAATGATCAAAAAGTAATATTTTGAGAAAATTATTAATAAACTCGCAATATATTATGAATCAACTATAAATATTACATGGTTGAATATAAAAAAACTTAAATTTATCACAAATATATTAAAAGATTTTGCTATACAGTATCAGTTTAATTTAGTACTTATACGTGATGTTCGAAAGATACGCAATAAAATCACATTGCTGTAGGTTTCAAATATATAGTTCATCTTTATCAATGAGAGATAAATATACAATAGAAGTATGTATTATTAATTATAATAAAATATTCGTAAATTTATGCAGTTCTTTTTAAATCGTCTTTGGAAATCATGTTTCGAAAAATTTTACACACGATACATCAGAAACGAATAATCCGTTCAATTATCTACATCTTTAGCAGACGTAGTTCATACCAAAATTGTAATATTATATGCATGTGTAATAATATATATTATAAATTACACAATCTAAAAACTATTAAAAATCACAATTTATTTTATATCAATTTTATATAATTTGAAAAAAATTATCGAAATATACTTTTTTATTGCTTTATTGCCTTAACACTCCATATTATATAAAACATTTATTTAACTTTTGTAAATATATACTTCAAATTTATAAAAATCTAAATGAAAAATTAAAAGTATTCTCATTTGAAATAATTTTTATAATTTATGAATTTCTAATTTACTTCGCTAAATAACAAAGCAGCTTATTTTTGAGAATACAATAAGAAACTTTTAAAACATCCTTACCATTTATTAAATATTTTAACAAATTTTATTATAAAATCTTTTTTAAATTAAATATCTAAAAATGATTCAGAATTCTTTTATATTTTTATCTGAAAAATTTATATTTTGATATAATAGATTAATATTTATATTATTGATAAATGTTAATTATTTGTTATAAACATAGAAGAAAATTATAGATATAAGGTCTTAATTTACTTCAATATATAAGAACAAAATATAAAAATATTTTATTGATAGATTAATGTGTAAATAGAATGTAAAAAAAACATTTATTATTATAATATGAAATTGTTGCATCAGTAAATTTTTAAATAAAAAACAATGCTATTATAAATATTTTAATTGAGAAAAATGTAAATGTTTGAAAAAATTAAGGTATACATAATAAATGAAATATTAGAAAAAGTGGTGCAAAATTATAATCGAGCATCTATTTTTCTAAGAATCACAAATAATTAATTTGAGCAGGTGCATATATACATAAAGAATATTAAAAGAAACATTAATTATCTAATAAAATTTACATCTAAACATATAAAAATGTAAACTAAATTTATATATATAACTCACATTTTTCTAAAACTAAGTAATATTATCTTAATTTCCGTTTAATTATATTTAAAATAGCTTGCATAAATATTTATATATATAATTTTTATGGTTAGTTAACTTACCTAACTCAATTTAACTACCAAATTACATTGATATCTCATTTAAATTATTAATATATATTTTCCCAATTATTTTAAATCAATTTAATACATTGAAATTATAACAAAATATAAATTAACTTATTAAATAAATTACTCCAGCAATCATAAATTTTATACACTTTTTAAATAACGAAAAAGTTGAAATACAATATAGACTCTGTTACTTGATATCTTTTATCAATTGCATAAATTAAGTAAAAATAATTTGGATAAATACTAAATGAATTGTGTATCATATTATTTACAACAGTAAAACTTTAAACAATATTTAAAAAAACAAAGAATTATACAATATGGGTTTAAGATTAAAAATAAATTAATGCAACTCCATTAATTATGTATATATTATTAAATCAAATATTTATCTATTATCAAAAATATAATATTTAAAACATTATTTAAATATTGTTAATCTAGTAAATCATAACTTATTTTACTTATATTAGATCCTATATTTAATTTTACTACTTATACAAACTGTTTATTAAAATTTATATATCACATAAACATATTAATATTTTTTAGATAAACTTTAATTATAAAAATCAGTACTACTAACTTAAAAAATTATAGAAAATTAATTGTTAAAAAGATGTGCAAAATTTATTCATGATTTACAAAAAAACATGAACACATAAAAATTTAGTTAGCTCCAGATCATTCTCAAAAATAAAATGTTTTTTTATTTAAGATCATTTAGATACTTTAGTAGCAAATTTAGATTTTTTTTGTTTAAATATTATTTATTTAAATAAATAAAAGCAACTAAAAAAGATTTTTTTTCTAAAATAAATAGAAACGCTTAAAATTATTTTTTATTATCAATCAATTACAAATTTTTCTCTTGCAATTTTATATTTGACTTTTGATTTTAATTAATACACTTGCTCACTAGTGTTTAAACTTCATGTAAAAAAAATTGATTTTATTTCTATAACATTTGTGTTCAAATTTAGAATGTAGTCGATTTATTACTTAATTTATTGACTATAAACTTACAGTTTTGTTATACAAAAACACAAAAAAATTGTTTAGAAGGTTGAACAAATAAATTTTATTTTATTATATAAGTACTTTTTTCAATTAAAAGGTGTAATATCCTACTTTTCCAAAATAAATGTATTTTTTTCATATTAAATAAATAAAATAATTTATTTACTCAATAATTAAGTAATTTATTAATTTCCTAACGTTATTGTGGATTACATATTTTAAAATTTGATATATAACGAATTGCTAGAAAATTTTTTGTAAAAATCGTATTTCTTTTTTATTATTCATAAATACTTTCAATAAAGATTTACATAATTTCATTAAAAAAGTGAAAAACAACAAGCTTTTTTTAACAAATTCATTTTTATATGCTTAGTAATAAACAAAAATTGTTGCAATAAAATTTTAAATTTACGATTTTTAGCCGACATTGGCTATTAGGTTCATATATTAAGAGATAAAAATTCTTGACTAGAATAAACAAAAAAATTAATTTCAACACTGTATGAAGAAAATTTTAATAAATATATTTTTTTATATAATAAATTTATAAGTTTATAAATTATATTTATATATATTATAAATTATAATTTATAAATTAAATTATAAATTATATATAAATTAATATATAAATAAAATAATAAATTTTAATAAAAATATTTTCATTTAGTATAGTTCTATCATAACGGACGACTACAAAAATGTATTACAAATTTTCAATTCTGGCATATGAATACAATACTATTTCTTACCTGTAATGAATTATTAATTCCGAGAAGAAAAAATTATCTTTCTTCTACCTCATAATTATTTATTTGATGCTGTCTATGAAAATTTCTATCTTGTATTATATCTCCATATATCCAGCATAAACAAAGTACATGGACATACACAAGTTCTTTTGGTTACACTCAAAGTCATTTTTTCTTTTTTTTGTTATTAAATTAATGTGAATTAAATTTATTATAAATTGATTCAATGCATTCTAGTAAATTCACTACAAATTCTATGGATTAATGTAAACTTTCAATCTTACATTCTTGTATTTTTTTTTCTTATTTTTTAACATAATATTTTTTTAATCAAGGCATTAAAGATGTAAAAACAGCCTTCAAAATATCACTAATACATTTTTGACCACCATTTTTTATATACTTTTTAAACTTACTTTATACACTTTTCTTTGTGATTTTTGTTAATTTACTAAATATGGAATTAAATATATTTCTCTTCATTCTTTATAATTAACTATTTAAAAATTATAACAATTTTCTTACATTTACAATACATATTTTTTAGCCAAGTTTCAATATTTTACTAATATAATCTACAATCGATATATTTTATGAAAATGGAAGTTTTTCTGAGTAGCATTCAAAAATATAAATTTAGTTTAAATTTCAATGTTTATATATTTTTTTAAATTTTTCCTTCGTGTAGCATTTACTTAATATTTTTTTAAACAATATTAACGAAATATACTATGACAAAATTACTTTATTAATACCACAAAGTTTTTGCAATACATTCAGCACTGTTTTTGTAATAAATAAAAACTAATAAAATCTATACAGAAAAAATTGTAAAGATATAGAATTTTTTGTTTATACAAATATATATAAAAATATTTTTATCATTCGAAAGTGCGAGGTTGCAAAAAATATCCCTAATATATGAACTATAATTTTATAGTTTGCATCAAAACTTCAAAATTCATATCTTAATAAATATAATACACTCAGATTTTAATTAAATATGGAAAATCTACAATTAATATCTTAATTGATTCAATTAATTCTTATCAAATATTAAGTTAACAAGTTGCGTACATTCAGAACAATTTTTCAACTTACATTAGCTACAATAACATTTAATATAGAATTATTTGATTATAAAGATACAAAAAACAATAATATATAATACACATAATTTCGCTTATGATTGATCATATTTTAATTAAAAGAATGATGTTTTAAATTATATTTATAATTTTTAAAGGATACAATCAAACAGATACCACCAAATATAAACATCATCACGAAATCTGCTGTCTTTCCACGAAATGATCCCTCTTCTAACATACGACAATACCTGTATGTAAATATAATATTGAAAAAAAAGTTGAATCCAATAGTTCCGAAAAATAAAAATGTTGTGATCAAACGCCATAGCTAAGTAAACAAACACATAAAACATATATAAAAATGTATTAGAGATAAATTTTAATTGGAATCATTTACTATTAAATACCTGGTATTGTCTAATAATAAGTATAGGATTAAAATACAGTTGGAATGGTGAAACCAAGTCTAATTGCTAAAAATAATTATATAAATTATTAATTGTTAGAATAAATTAAAATAATTTAGATGTTTCATAGGAACTTAAAATATAAATACAAATTGAGATTAATGCCTGAACAATATTAACATTGAATCATTGAATTTTTATAAGAGATTAAGTAATTATATCCAAATAACTATATATTAATTTTAAATTAAATTAAATTAATTAAAATTAGTTTATATATATATATGCATTCAAACTGTTTTTTATTGAACTGTTTAGAATAAAATAAAATTTATTAATTGAGAATAAAATATTAAAAAATATATTATGATACCTAATTAAAATATAAACAAAAACTCAAGAAAAAATAAATTAAATTGTTATTTGTGATTCAAAAATATTTATTCATATTAGTTATATTTGATATTTTTCTAATACTTTTACTTTTTAGTAGATTTTTGTATAAACTTTTTTAGATTTTAATACAAAAATGATCCATAGCTAGTAATTAGTATGAATTAATATAATAATATTAAAGCTATCAATATATATATATTTTAAATGATAATTCATCAAAAACCCATTAAATTTTATATTTAATCGTTTTTGTAATTTCTATTTTGAATTTCTGTATTAAAATATTCAAAACTAAAAGTATTAACAAGCATTTTATAATATATGTTCAATGAATATATATATCTCAAGTTTATGATTATGTAAATATTTTCATTTATTTCAATTATTTTTATAAATTTTTCAATAACAAAAACATTTTACATAAAAATGAAACCTTTTAATTTAAAATTTATGAAAATTATATTCACTTATTGAAAGTTAAAAGTATTTAAATTTATAAGATACAAGCACACACACTCAGAAACACACACACATATACATACATACATATATAACTAATCCTGCTGGATGCAGTTTTTAATTAATGTACATTTTAACATAATAATGAAAATGAATATTAATTCCTAAACAAATTAAACAATTTGTTTTTATGATTTGCAACAAATTTTTATAACTTGCTTTAAATTAAATATCAATTATTTTATTATTTAATTTTTATTATGTAAATATTTTATGAATAAATATAAGATATACACTACAGAATACGAAAGAAATATTAAAAAAAATAGTATTCCTACATACAAGTTATTATATATCCATATATTAAAAAATAAAAGCTGCCATTTTAGAACTTAATTTCAAGCTATGAAAAATGAAAACTATAATACAATCTTGACCAACAAACATATCATACTAAGAAATACTAGAAAAAAATTAATATAATAAATAGAAACTAACGACAGAAAGTGTAGTAAGAACACAAACTGTTGTATATGCTCTTGTAACAACTGGCATATGCAGATATTCTTGACGAAAAGTTTGATAAGCCATTAGTTGAATTGAATAAATCACTGAAAATACTTAAGTGCTTAAAATATTAAATAAAAACTCATTACAAATAATTTGAAATTAAATATTAAATAAAATAACATAATATTAATTTAAATATTCAGACATAAAGATGTAAGGTTACAAATATCCACTTCAATCATAGATTAATTTGGTGCATACTTTTTCATAAATATACAAGATGTAGACTCGATATTATTGTCCAACCCTCATTTTATATGCGCAGATTTCATCTCAATAGAAAATGTGATGTGCGCCCTCCAATATGCGCATTAGAAATCTAATCTTATTGGTTGTTTTAAACACATGCAAATTCATATCAAATTTACAGTGCAAACCAGTAATAGCAATATATTATCCAAGAAAAAATTATAAAATAATTTCTTTATTAATGACAATACTATTTTTTATTTAATATTATAAAATAAATATTCCATATAGTTATATATTTTTGGTTAATTTTAAGATAATTAAAAAAAGTTTACTTACAACTTTTATAATATAAGATTATTTATTAATAAATATTATTTGGATCTTTTATATTATTACTTCTATAAATAACTTTATCGCGTAATTTAAATCATTGCTAACGGGACTGCTCATGCATTTCAGACATAGGACGAATGTATAGTTTCTAAAATGCAGAGGTAGTAAACGTTGGGCCATACAAAAATGCATTGTATTTATTATATTTGCTTAATCAAACTAATACAAAAATATTATATGAAAAGATACAATTTCCAAAAATATAATTATCATTAATGCACTATATTTTTAAACACACTAAATAAATAATATGATGCTTAAAATATAAAAATATAAAATTTTTTATTATTCCTATACATTTGTAGAATGCTAATTGAACTACTCCAAATTATGCGGTTCCAAAAATTGTTACAAATAAAAGGCGCCAATTCTAACCATAAGAAGCTCAACCATCTTTGAATATATAGTCATTGACTATTATTATTATTGCTCTTTATATTTACTAAAAGCTTTAAATTAAATTAAAATACATACAAGTTGTTCGGTATATTACAAATTAAACTACATGTACTCCACAGGCAAAAGATTTATATATAAACATTTTTGAAAAGTAGAGTATGATTTGGAATTTCAGTATTTCACGAGCTGTTACTTTATTTATAAAATATATTTCAACTTTTCACACTACTTAAAAAAATTTCATAAATATAATTTAAATAAAAAATATATCTACTCAGATTTTAATTATTCATTAATGTATATATATATAATCATATATCCAATTTAATTATTATATTAATAATTTTAAATATATAGTTATAAAATAAAAACTTTAATACCTTAATAGTTCTGTTATCAAGTAATTCAGTATGTCATGTACATATTACATATAATAAGTAAAACGAATAAATATTACATAGTATTAAATAAATAAAAAATGTTAAATATTTTAGATTTAAATTATGCATGATTAAGACAATTAACAGTATTTATAAAATGTAAATTACAAATGTATGATAGGAATGGTAAACATTGTATCATTATGGCACATATTATATACATAAATATTTCAAAAATGAAAAAACTTAATGTATGATATAAAGATATAAATAACTACATGTTATGGTACTGTCTGGGATCAGACTAAAAGCCTCCCTGTGATGGTGGATGGAGGCTTACTGGCAAGTGAAAGGGACAATGCAATAATTCAACACTGCCTTTGAATGTAGTGTCTTTCCCTTTATTGAATATAATAAATATAATAAATAGTCAGTGGTCTATGGATGTCGAATTGAATGTATGATACTATGAATAGATGAGAGTTTCTTCAATTAATATGAGCAACAAGAATCCTGTAAGTGTATTCTTGGTAGCTTGGTGCTTGATTCTCCTACTCGTAGTTATGAACTTGTAGTGGTGGTGGGAGACTCGCGCTGATAAGGGGCAGCGATGGTTCCGCCCTTGCCGCTGGCGAGAAGAGCTGTAGCGGCCTGAGTGAGGGGTGCCTGTGCGACGTCACTGATACAGAGGCAGTGTGGATTTGCCGTTGCCGCTAGCGAGATGCACGATGTAACGTCACGTCACTGCTTGACGAGTGGAAGTATTCCTCATACCGTATACCATGTATTAGTATTGCTGTTTACTTAGTTGATGAGAGCAGTGTATTAGTGATCCGTAAGAACGTGTGTAATAGCGTAACTTACGTGTGTGGAGTCGATCTCAGTTGCATTGATGGTACGTAAGAACATGTGTAATAGCGTGGCTTACGTTAGTAAGCCGAGTGAGCTTGGCTTCCGTTGAACTGTAGTCGATCTCTGGAGCGTTGGTGGACCTAGTGAGCTTGGCTTCCATTGGGCTGGAGTCGATCTGTGCAGTGTTGGGTGACCGAAACTAGCTTAGCTTACGTTGAGCTGGGTTCGATCTGTAGGACGGCGATCCGATCTTGATGAATGCTTGATTGAACTAGTAAGAGAGCGAGAGCGTCAAGCGCGTCTCCTTAAATATCCTAGTACAGGCTTGCGATTCCGATGAATTCTGGATCACTCTTGTCATGCTGATTGTTAGAGGGACGTCACTAGAATCTAGCCTTGGAGAGTTCGTCGTCCCTTGTTAGTCGGAATTGTAATGTAATTTTCGATTATTTTGAGTAGTGAAGTTTCCCAATTTCGTAGAATTGTGTTTATGACTCGGCGCGCAAATGTTTCTACCTAAGCACAGGTGTCTTTACCTCTCCCACTTTGTTTACCGCGTAAAATTGCTGTAATCCGTAACAGGTATTTATAGTAATTTTTTATTTTATAATGACTTATAGTAATTTTTTATAATTTAAAAATATAATTTAAATACATTAAATAAGTCTTTTCTTATTAGGTGAATATTTTCTACGTTTTATAATCTCAACAAGCAATAATAATACTAGTTTAAATATATATACTGAGTAATTATACAGTACTACAACATGCACTGTAAACATGTGTAATTTTTTCCATCTTTATTTATATAAATTTAGAATGATTTTTTCCAATGGAAGAATATAAAAATAAAAAATATATAAGCTTACAAAAATCTAAATATTAAATATTACAGTCTTGTTTTTATCATTTCAAAACTTATATAATTTTTTTATATAGAAATTAATTTATTCATAATGTTCGAGATTCAAAGAATCTCGCGAATGTTATTAGTTGGGGAAAAAATCCAACGTCTATCATTTCAAGAAAAATATTGAACTTCGGAAAGCGCAATAAATGATCTTTGTTGTTAGCTAACAAAAACGCGGCGAGTCTGTTTATGCGAGAACTTTTCGACAGTGTCAGATATACGAATCGGATGTGGGAATAGAGGCATGCATGTTTAGTTATGTCGCCCAAAAGCGGCGCACTCTGATTGGAAATAAACAAAGGAAAAGGATTTTCAGTTGACACCAGGTTCAGTGAACTGTTTAAGAAGGACAATATTCAAACACTCACGCTAAAATCCCAAGAAAAAAAAGTAACGTCGTAACAGCTGTGTCCGAAGAAAGTTTAGTCTCTAATCTTCGTAAAAGAAATGTTGTTTACTAGGTTATACAAATTGTTTTTTTTAGAAAAGTGCAGGTTACATGGTATCTCCAGCAGCCAGCACAAGCCCAAGGCGATCTTAGCCCGTGCGACCCGAGAATTCTGCGTCGCCCCTTCAGTTCCATACCGTGTTCAGCTTAACTTTTAATAGAAGTCGCTTGTACCCAAGTGCATGAAGCAGTAGCAGATTCACCACGTGGCACTACTCGAAGAAGTGGTAAGAGCCTTACAACCTCTCCTTTCTGAGGGTAACCTGCCATTCAGAGCAGCACGTTACGAGGATCAGGAACTTTCTACTAACACTTCCACTTACCCACGCATTTTCCCACATAACATCTAGTGGTCTTTTAGTTAATTTTAAACACATAATATAATGTAACTAGCTAAAAAATTTTTTTAATTTATATGAGTTATACAACGATAAAAAAATTAAGTATTAAAATAAAATAAATATTCGTTACTAAATATTAAGTATTCGCTTTATTTATATATGCGCGATATTCATATTGTTATTAAAATATATATGAATAACATAATGTAATCGAATAAATTAATTAATTGGACCATATAAAATTATTTGATTGATCTCATTATTATCTAAAATATGGCAATTAAAAATGTTTCTCATAAATAAGCATCTAATAATTTATTTAAATAATTTAAACAAAATTATTCATTAATTTTGAATTGGTTGCATAAAATATATAATTTTTCTTTTTAATATAATTAATTAGATTTATATGTAACTGAAATATTCGTTACAAAAATTTAACGATTCTAAATAATGTAAGAAAGCAACATAATCGTTTGATCTTTATTACTTTAGCAATATACAATACAAAGAATACAATTATAAAATGATAGAGAGAGAAAAGCTAAAAGATGTAAAAGGAATAATTATGCGATGAGATATCAAGTATTGGTGAAAATGATTGGTGAAAATGATTGGTGAAAATAAATAAATATAGTCAATATTATTCTAAATATTACAAATATTGAATTAATTTTATTTTAAATTAGAGTAAATGTTCAGGATTGGAGTACTTTACAAGAAAATTAATTCTCCGAAATTAGAAATAGTTATAGCTCGCGAAATCGTAAACATTGATTCCGAAATTTCTCGATCATTTTAAAGCCGTTGCTTGCTTCCCTTCAATTCTCGAACGTTCGAGAGCTTAGTCTCTGACGTCATGCAAGACTTTCGGCATAGCAACACCTATGCATTGTTACCAGCTAAGTAATCTGCCGTGCGCATCTTTTAAAGACGCACGCGACAAGCCTAGCGCTCTTAGTGAAAACTCTCTCAGTGAAGACACCATGGGACGGATCACGATCTGCCTTAACAAGGACCGCCATGGAATAGTCGATATATCTCAAAAGAGTAGCCGTGGAACAACTAAGCCTTCAAATGTGCGCACTAAATTCAGCCAGACTCTGCATAAATAAGCTAGTAAGCCAACAGTGAAGCCAATACATTTTACAAATATTTAAGCAGTCAAGATTGCTGGTTGAATTCCAAGAGTGATTACAAAATAAAAACCATAACACCTGCGCACTGATCA